CAATAAGTCTGAATTGGGACAATACATAGTAGATAAGTGGATAGTCATCCCATTTGCAATTTATTCAGTGGGATGTGGTAGTTGAAAACAGGAAGTATGTCCACCTGCAATTTATTTAATGGGCCTTCTGTACAGGGCCCGTGGACACATGTGAATAAAGTGTATTTTTCATAAGCATGAGTGATACTGTTGATGAAACCACCTCTACTGTACTCAGCAACCTCAGTGGAAACCATTCATGGCAGTTTCATGTCATAATAGTGTTGAATTTGCATAAAAATTATGTAGAATTGAAAAGATCCCACCTGCAACTTATTTAATGGGCCTTCTGTACAGGGCCCGTGGACACATGTGAATAAAGTGTATTTTTCATAAGTATGAGTGATAGTTTATGAGAACACCTCTACTGGAAGCAGGACACTCCAAAGAACCCATTCATGTAACTTTCATGTGATAAAATAGTGTAATATGCATAAAAAAATGAATGTCCATGGAACCACTATATAGGGCCCACTGAATAAATTGGAAATGGGATGTTTCTTTATGCTAGATTAAAAACAACATTCATATTGGGGCCAGGGCCTAGGGGCATCGAATGCTTGAGCGTGGGGCCCTGATGTACGACGTGGAAAAGGGCCAAAGTCCTCAGCGTTTGGGAAGACCTTTAAAAAAAATCAGCAAAAATATTCAGTGAAAAATACAGACATGTGCTTGCCCCTTTTCTGACCTTTTGACCCCTAAGCAAGGTCGTAGGACCACCAAACTTTTCCGCCCGCTCGAGGGGGTCCCTTTGAAACAAAGATTTCGAATTCGGCTCGATCAGACCCTTCTGAGCCGTGTCCGTGAACCCTCTATGGAAAGCCCATTCAAATAAATTGAGAATGGGACTTTTTTAGGGAGGTCCCACGGGGCCCAAATCGCACATTGAGTTGCCTCAGGAGCCCCGGAGCGATGTGCTAAAGTGGCCTGGGACCCCAAAAAGTATTTTTCTTCATTTTACATCTATTTCTCTGTCTGTCATTGAAGTCAATGTATGACTAGAAACAGGCCCGATTTCAGTGAGACACGCGGCCGGACTTGAAAGGCTTAGGAAGCCACCAGGGCCCTCAAACTCGGGAGCCCAAACGGGGGGCCCACGACGGCGGTGCGTGCCGAGTTTCGAGGCCCAGTGATCTTTTGTCTCCATACGGGAGGCGTCCCGCTTCCCATTTAAACGTGTAACTGTTTTGTGGACACTTGGTCATTTTTTGACCTTTTGACCCCTGAACGAGTTCGTAGGGTCACCGAACTTTTCCGCTTGCTAAAGAGATCTCTGACAATACACAAATGGCGCCCTCTAGTCGATCGGCCCTTTCGGAGGCCACGAAACCGCTAGGCCA